GGAATCGAACCTGGGTTTTCGGCGTGACGAGCGAACGCCTTAACCACTAGGCTACCCCGCCGCCCCCTTTTGTAGAAAGGACTTCAGGCTCGTTCACTATAGGTTCATGGCGTGTCGTCGTACCCTGACTGTGTTGGTCGTTGTTCGCCACATCAATCACTGGATTGTCTGGCCAAGACTCGATCATTTACCAGTTACCGTTACAGAACTGGGATATTGCTTGATGAGGCGTTAAACAATAAACAGTTTATTGTAATATAACATCGTTTCTACAATCGAACAGCGCTTAAATGGTTTGGAACAGATCCGATTGCTGGTTTTTTTGTTTATTGTTGATTTGTAACGACAATGAGAGTCCATAGCCCCACTGTACACAAGCGTACAGTCAATTACATTCGATAGCCCCAATGTACAGATTCAGAACATATCTACCGAAAGTACAGTCCCTGCTGTCGGATCATCCCAGACGACCAACACCATCGGACAGCCTCGTCCATTATCGATTCCCTCCGCCTGCGTCAGACACTCCTCGAACCTACCGTCGGTAAAGGTCATCCAAGGCCAACCTATGACCCTGACCTATGACGTCACTAAGTGGTTCATGTTTCCGACATCCACGTGCTATTTCTCCCGATGGAATCAACTGAGACCTACTTCTCGGCTACATGCAAGCTCGCCAGCGGTCAGGGAAGGCACGTTCCGAATTCTCACCATGTCGAATGCCCCTGACTTCTACATACAGATATTTGCAATATTACAGCAAGGTATTCCAGCCAGACATAATTTCACAACTTAAGTATGGCCTGTAGAAAAACGCACCTTGACAGTTCGACAAGAAAGGTTATAGTAGCTTGTTCTAAATGGGGAAATTCAGAAATTCTTCAAATGTTGGTAAATGTTTGCATGAGGCAAAGCTCTCCTCCAATCTTAGATGGACCCACGCGCGCAGGTCAAAGAATTTGAGCAGAATGTCGGGTGTATATTTACCAAGACAAAATGGAGACGGCTGGTTATCGTTGTTTTGGGGTGAGGCGTCCTCATTCCGTATTGGATATATAAGTGCAGGGGCGGATACAGCTTTTTGAGAAGGGGGGGGAGCACTCTATTGAGAAAAGGAGGGTTGCACACTTCATTTTCACCCGAGTTTCAATGGTCATTTAACAAACTTTCAGCACAAAAAGGGGGGTGCGCACCCCTGCCTATAAGCTCTATCATGCACTCAGTTCACCTCAAGTAAAAATGGTAAACTCGGCCAACTTCTACTGATCCAGACTAATTACCAGAAGGGTGACCTAACATAACATAAATACCTCACTCATAATAATGGTGTGACGATTCATCGATACGCATCGATCCATGGGCCTCCGATACAGTGAATCGGTACAAAGTCTCCCAATACGATACTTCAAATGGGCCACGATACATCGGTGTTCAACTTTGAATATTGCCGAATCGCGATGTGTCAAGATATACTGTTTTTAAAATCACCACAACTTCATGCTATTATGTGACTGCAGTGACAGCATCCAGCAACATGCAGATATTAAAGATGTTTTTTATGTATGTTTTCTGTTAAAACAGTATTATTTTGTATTTATTTTGTACTTGTTTTTGAAAAAGTGTCTACTGTGACTTTTTCAAATTTAAGTTTCTTTCATTTAAACATTGCATCTTAAGGAGCTTTATAGTTGGTGTTAGAATTAAAGGTTTTAATATCGTGATACGTATCGTATCGCCACCTTATATCGGGATTCGTATCGTATTGCAGCTTCATTGCACAATTACTTTGGCAATATATCGTAACTAAGCTTTTAGTATCGTGATGTATCGTATCGCAGGTTGTATGCCAACACCAGCACTAACTCATACACAATACACAAACTTCGACCCGACTTAATATTTTGGTATGGTTTAATGTCAAGCTCGAGGCAGGGAAACAAAAAGTACCATTTCTAGCACATCTTTTTGTAAAACGCGGTCGGGATTCGAACCACTTTCCATTCGCCATTCTATCCACTAAACCATGAAGAATGTCTCCATGTTATATAAACGTGTGCTGGAGTTGATAAGATGGAAAAGCTATCGATCTATGATGATAGATAAACTGACAAGTTTCGTTGTATCTGTTTGATGTCTTTACGGTAACGAGAGTGCGACATTTCGATACAGATTCTTGTACCGTTGTCAAGCAGTTGGGATACGACGACATCTGTCATCCAAGTCCAATCCCGCTAGTCGCGTCTTACAACAAGCATGGGTTAAGAAAAAAGTGAAAATGAAAAGTCTATATTCTTCAAACCAAGCACATTGCAACAATCACACGTTGTAAGCACGTACAGGTTCACCACTTCCGAGCATGTATCAGTTCACAAACTCGTATCCTTATTTAGGCCTGAAACCTGCATTGATGGTATTGCCTAATTTAGCAGTAACAGTCCAGAGTAGATTATAGCGATGTACTCGCTACCACCTGCATCTGCCCTCACCCCAGGTAAACATTGGAGGCCTGGTGTTGACACACTGCAATTTGCTCACTCAAAGGCTTATCTCATGTCCACAAATACTGGAAATTGCAGCACTCCTTAGAAAGTCGCCTTAATACATGTAGCTTCACTGTTACAAATGGTGGTTAAGTCGGTAGTTTGAGGGAGCACACTGTGAAGTGATGCGCTTACAGGAAGACAAATGGGTTTTTTCGGCGAGAGCTGTTTTGTTTCATCTCTGATAAGATTTAATGAGAATGATCTTCCTGCCCTAAACATGTGTACGTTATTAAAACCGAGACTACTTTCTTTATTCTTTATTGGTAAATTAGGGTATAACGGCCCATTCACGATTATATCACTTACAGAGCGACGTGGGTGCGTGCCTTCCTGGGTGTACTGGTCGGACTAAATATGGTGCCAACCCAATGAGGTGGTGAGGTGAGGTGAAATTGGGTTTAACGTCGTGCTTGAGAATATTTCGCTCATATGACGACGTGCATGCGTGTGTATGTGTATGTGCGGCTGCTTGTACTAGCCCAGACTTAGGCTGGTTTTATAGTGCTAGCCCACTGAGATACCATGCCGCAGTGAAGCATGACTACCCCACTCAGACACATTACACTGACTCCGAGCCGACCAGTCCTTGTACCCATTGATGCCGAGCGCCAGGCAGGAACCAACAAGTACCATATTTTAACGTCTTTTGGTATGACGCGGTCGGGGATCGAACCCGCGACCTTCAGCTCTCCGGGCGGACGCTCTAACCACAACACCACGGAGGCGGTCCCAACCCAATGAGAAACCATGCCTCTGTTTAACGGGGTACGCTACTTAAACACAGTACAAGGACCCCGAGTCGACCGTATTTTCTATCATAGTACCGGGACGGTGGGGTAGCCTGTTGGTTGGCTCGTCACGCCAAAGGCCCGGGTTCTCTCTCTCTCCCCAAACGACGGCCAGGGGAAAAAAACAACAGTGTATGAAATAAGGCAAACACCCAGCCAGACATCAGGGTTGGTAACTTCAAAATGTTACCAGCTCAAAATGGATCTAACCAGACCAGACACCAAGATATGGTGAATTTACTCAAATGTATGACTGTCACTTTAAGGAAGGATACATACAAAACGTAGTGAGTGAGTGAGTGAGTTTGGTTTTACGCCGCTTTTAGCAATATTCCAGCAACATCACGGCGGGGGACACCAGAAATGGGCTTCACACATTGTACCCATGGGGATTCGAACCCGGGTCTTCGGCGTGACGAGCCAACGCTTTAACCACTTGGCTACCCCACCGCCCCTCTCAAATGTATGGAAGATCTAACAAATTGAATAGACCATTGGGCTGGCTAGCTGTACATTTAGACCGTCCGTCAGAAATCTAGCCTGTCTCGGGCGGTCGGACGGGCCTTATTTCATACACTGAAAACAATCTTTCAACTTTTGCTAGGACTGAACCCTCGACTGACTGACTGACTGAGTTTAGTTTTACGCCGCGTTTAGCAATATTCCAGCAATATCACGGCGGGGGACACCAGAAATGGGCTTAACACATTGTGCCCATGTGGGGAATCGAACCCGGGTCTTCGACGTGACGAGCCAACGCTTTAACCACTAGGCTACCCCACCGCCCCTCTCAAATATATGGAAGATCTAACAAATTTAATAGACCATATTGGGCTGGCTAGCTGTAAATTTAGACCGTCCGTCAGAAATCTAGCCTATCTCGGGCGGTCGGACGGGCCTTATTTCATACACTGAAAACAATCTTTCAACTTTTGCTACGACTCGACCCTCGAACCTCTCTCCGTTCAGACCTGTATTGACACTGGTGGAGGCAGCAATTTCTTTTCGCCTTTAACATGCAGACCAGTAAATCGTGCTGTTGGTCTCTTGGAATGAGCGAGTGAGTTGGAGCGTTATTCCAGCAGTATCACGGTGGACGAGACCAGAAATGGGCTTCACACATTGTACCCTTGAGGGAAATCGAACCGGTCTTCAACCTCTAGGCTACCACACCGCAAAGGTCCCTTGGAACACTACGTCGGTTTAAAAAAAACATGATGATAGTATACATCGTTTTTGGTTCTTCTCCTACCCACTAAATTAGCTCATTCAGCATTTACTGTTACCGAGCTATGCCGCTAAACAGAATAAATTACACTGTTCCCACGGAAATGGCACCCGTCAGTACATATATACCTTTGGATGGCACATTTGAGTTACAAGCCCCTGTAATGCATGAAAATGTTTGACATGAAAATGTTTGACATCGCGTTCAAGAGTACTGAAACATGCATGGACATGTTTTCTTACACCTAATGCCGACCAACAGGCATTGTAAACAGGCTTTGGTATGACGAAACCAGGGATCGAACCCCCTTGCCTTCTGCTCCCAAGACAGATACAATCCACTGGACCACATAGTGCAGACCTTCCAAACAGATAACGGTTCTGAATGCAAGATTTCGTTGTACGTCCACACACGGGATTCATTAAACAACATCACAATGGCAACTGTTTGAAGTTTTAATTTACATTCATTATGTCAACAAATGCATCACCTTCCCAGAAAAAAACAAAGTAAACAGAATATATAACAGAACTTGTCAGAGTTTAACAACATGTAAACCATCAAAGTTTTCAAAATAAATATGATCAATTCACTACATTTGACATGTATGTTAATTCTTAATCTTCAAGAAGGTTGACAAATAATATATTCTTTCACTAATGACTAACTTGCTTACACAGAAAAAGACTCCTTTACAAGATTTTAGCAAATGGCATGACAATATCATGTAAACAAAATGAGGGTACAAACATTTTCTCAAACAAAACAACTTCTCATCCAAAGAATCTTGTAAATCAACACAACATACCAGTTTGTTTGGTAATGCTTTTATAGCTACAGTGAGCCCAGATACTTTGCCAACAATTCTATCAAACTCTCATAAAGCAGCATGTGCCCACAGATTTCAAAGTAGACAAGGAAGAGATAAATGAAAAAACCAGACTGAGGGCATGGTAAGCTAACACTCTCACCACTCACCGACCAACTTATGCTGATCAATAATCACATGATTACTTTATCATGCATAATAAATGACTTATCAGTATGAACATAAACATACACTATTATGAGATAAATATTTAATATTAAATACTTATATTGATAATCTCTGCAGTTAATTTTCTCATGTCAAACAGCAATATTCAAGTGCATTCTTGTACCAGCAAACTGCCTGTAAAGCTGTAAAAGCGTGAACCAGAATATCACAGAAGATGAGAAAGTTAAGGATGATCCACATTACATCAGGTGCTAACCATGACATTCTGGGAAAGGATCTGTTTAGTTACACTCAATCTGAATTTGTTGAAAGGAAAGAAAACACAATGTTCAGCAATAGGATTAACAAGACCCAAAAGCTACACATACTGCACCAGTGGGGAAATGAAACCAAGGATGTTGACCAGAGTGAGTGAGTGAGTGAGTTTAGTTTTATGCCGCACTCGAACCAATGACTTCGGCGTGACGGGCGAACGCTTTAACCAGTAGTAATCCCATCGCCCTTAACGCCGGCAGTCATCATCCGATATGTCAAAAGGGTTTGTTTGTTGTTATTAATGCCGCGCTCAGCAATATTCCAGCAATATGGCGGCGGTCTGTAAATAATCAAGTCTGGACCAGACAATCCAATGATCAACAGCATGAGCATCGATCTGCGCAATTGGGAACCGATGACATGTGTATGTTGACCAGAAGCAAATGCTTTAACTACTGAAGCACCAACGTGTGTCAATAAGTTTTCAGCTTCTGAGTGAGTATGGTTTTCGCCGCTTTTAGCAATATTCCAGCAATATCACAGCAGGGGACACCAGAAATGGGCTGTACACATTGTACCCATGTGGGGAATCGAACCCAGGTCTTCGGCGTAATGAACGAATGCTTTAACCACTAGGCTACCCCAACGCCCCTTTTCAGCTGCAGTCACAGAAAAAGTCCTGTCAAACATTATGCAGCTAAATGTTCAAAACTAACTTCCCATTTCAACCTTAGTTTGAATGTGATGACAGAAAGGGTAAAACAAAATAGTTTCCAGATTTCATGTTGAAGAAAAATGTAGGTATTATATATAGGCCATTGTTATGTCAGGTTTTGTGGAATTTTATTGAACTGCAAATGGATTCCTTATAAAGATGAAGTATGGGTTAATGCCTCTTTGTAAATATTTCAATTGGGTTGTAATCCAAGAGAACTGGTGCGGAGCTGACACAAAACCAGGAAAAGGGGCATGTCAGAACATTGCAGGAATCCACTATTGTCCAGTTCTGGCTACACACTGATTTAAACATAAAAAAATAAAGGCCAACATAGGTTGAATTGACATTATTATAATATTCACAAATTTCAAGTCTGGCAACTTTGCTGTTTAGAATAAGCTTAAGCTGCATAGAAACACAGAATGTCACGCTTTGCGTCCATCTCAATGAGGATAATGCCTGTAGTTCAGCAACTATATGGCAGAATTGGAAAAGAATGCCTTCAACTTGTCGGCATGACTACCAACAGTGCATGATACAGCCGAAGAGGCTAAGAGTCATGGTGCTAAAATTACCAACTCATTCAATTCAGTTCATTAGACAACTAGTTTGTGTTCAGGCTTTAGTAATGTTCATGGAATAGTCCTGAATGTGTGAAAAGTCACTTTATGGAGGAGCTGCACTATTCATTTCTTTAAAATAGGACACTGCAAATTATGAACCACTTCTGCAAAACTGGCTGCCTTATCTCAGCTGTCAATACGGTATGTGTGTAATATACTAGCTTCTCTTTCCAGGATGCCACAGACTACGGTATGTACACATATTAACATATTCACAAAGAGCATTCATACAATTGCATAATTCACACAAAAAGAACATTCTAAAGATCTGACAGATATCGATTCAGAAGTCATTCATGCACAAACTCTTGAAGACCAAATTCTTATACTGACTGTTCAGACTGTAGTATGTTGTTATACATCAGTACAAAAGCAAGTCCAAATGAGAAGACACAAAAATATCAAGTCAGTCAGGAAACATCTGGAGTAAGATCAAACCAACATGCTGCTGTTAATACTGTTGTTTAACACTTACAATGTCATAACCACCTGGAGGTATCATGTATGGGCTTCACTGGTCAAAGGAAATCATCACCAATATTGACTCATAATTCAATACGTTGTATACAATGTTACATGTCACTTTAAGGAAGGATACATACAAAACGTAGTGAGTAGTGAGTATGGTTTTACGCCGCTTTTTAGCAATATTCCAGCAATATCACAGCGGGGGACACCAGAAATGGGCTTCACACATTGTACCCATGTGGGGAATCAAACCCGGGTCTTCGGCGTGACGAGTGAACGCTTTAACCACTAGGCTACCCCACCGCCCCCATACAAAACATAGCTTCAGGGCATTGTACAAAGTGATCTTAGCGCTCAGGCAACCGTAACTCCCATTGCTTATTATAGACTTAAGGTCACCTTAGTGCTAAGATTGTTTTATACAACAGCACCGAGATGTTTAACTCTTTTGAAGCTAACATTTTGTTCTCAAGTAGATAATGATCCAGCAATGCTGAAAACAACTAGAAAGAGCCTGCACGTAATGTTAACTTATTAAATTAAATTAAATTTATTACAGTGTTCTGTCTCATGTATTGTAAGATAAATGACTGTTACAAAACGTAGAACACAGATCATGGTTCAACAAAAGGTTTCTCCACCAGACAAATGTCAGTAAACATTAGTAATGATTAGTAATGTTTCACATTGAGGTAGTCTGAAAATATGAAATGTCAAACTCTTCATGTTCTCTATAAAACTGAAAGGACATTATTTGTGACATGAAATGATAATTGATAGGATTTTTTTGGGCCACCTGTTCAAGGGAGGTAACTTAGTGATGAATAACAGTGACAGTGAAAAAATGTGTCTGTTCTTCAGCCACTTTATTTGCGTTTTAAATGAAGTTCCAAACATGTGCAGTTCACAATGTCAGAACTCTGTTCCCCAAATCTAACAGGCTAACATGTTCACTGATGTCCTTCGCCACAGAAACTGCCATACCTCCTGCAAAAGCATTTTGTCTTTGTTCGCTAATCCTTCTTCCTTGAGCATGAATCCAGTGCCACAAAATACAAAACAAAGAAAGTCGAGCCCTTCACACAAAATTGCGAGATCTAAAATAGAAATGTATGCCATGATTTAGGATAACTTTTCCTTTGGACAGTTATTGTGACTTGAGTGAACACGATGTCACGCTCCAAGACAACACACAGGTAAAAGGCAGGGAACAGTATGTGACGTAAGAGATGTAAGGCAGCATCACCATGACAACATCAACAACAGTCAGGATAGTGTTTTTAAAGGAACAGGAAAGAAATGAAGTGTGAAATTATATCATAACTGACATGCCTTTAACATTCATAATGAAATATGGCCCTGGATGTAATTAACATCCAATCATTCACTTTACAGGTGAACAGATCTTGATTGATCAACTTTTCTGCATAGCTTATAACCATGGTTTATATATACGATACAGTTCCATTTATCACTATCACTGTCATATGCAAAGTGACAGAGATCAAAGTAATGCAGACTCGCTAGCAAGGATACGATGCTGCTAAATTAATTATCATAACCAAACGTTATCCTCACATTTGATTTATATAAGCAGATCCTGCCACAGCTAAAGAAAGCAACTCTGCACAGTGAACTATTACCCTTCAATCAGAGGGTAACAGGGGCCCCTGCAAATGGCCAAGACAAGCTGTCTGACACTAGAAAGCTGTTTCAACATAATGGTAAATCTTCTGCAATCTTCTTTTCTTCCATTAAGGACTTATAAACATACAGCATCTGTTTGACAACTGTCACTGATTTAAGGCTTAAAAGCATCTTAACTCCATTCCACAAAGTGTTCTTAGCGCTAAGTTGATTGTAAAACCCATACTTTAACATTGGCTTACGATAATCACAGCGCCAAAATCACTTAATGGAACAGGGTTCAGGTTTATTTCTCTCCTTAGATACACCGACAGTACAAGCAACCCCATTCATCCATCTGTCCATTCATGCATCTACTTCTTGCCCCCACCCCACAGCCAGCCCTTGACGAAGCCTGTGATTCCTCCTGCTGCCTTCTTCTGCTCCATCTTCTCCTCCAGAGACGGGAACTCCAAGTGATTCAACGCAAGGTCAAAGAATAAGGGCCGACAAGGAATAGGCTTGAAATCTGGCGGGAACGATGTAATATTGGGCTTCTTGCTGGTTAAAGACCTATCTTCTGCAAATGTGTCCAAACGATCTTTGAGAGGCTGAAAAGAAAACATACGAACATAGTAAGTTTTGTTAGAGTGAAATTATAATTATTAAAAACATGTTTATACATGAGGAAACAAGGTAAATGCCCTATCAGAACAGAGGGTCTTAAAAGTTATCTGCCCTTAAATTCTCACCAACGAGCCTATTGATTTTACGACACAAATTGTAGGCTGACAAAAGTTATCTCCCCTCAAAGCTACACTATTTCAATCTTTCTCTTCTGATGGTAATGCTTGATGTGTCTTACCCTCTTGTCACTAGATGGCAGCACTCCAAGGCTGTCCGTAGTATCATCCGTCTTCAAGATACTGGAGGCATGACAGGAATACATCAACCCGTTGACGTCTTTCACCAGTTCATTCAACTTGGCTACTTCACCCTGATAGACAAAATAAGGTCAAGGATAAGTTTGAGCGTTCTTTTCGAAATTCTCACTAAATGACGGCTGTTTACAAACATTCAAATAAAGACCAGACAATCCAGTGATTGATAGTATGAGCTGCGATCCACACACACACCCATGATTTGTTTGTTGTTGTTTTGGATCATTTATTTCACACCACTCAGTAATATTCCAGCTATTTGACCGTGACCTGTAAATAATCAAATCTGGACCAGACAATCCAGTGATTGACACAATACTCTTACAATCTGCTAGTAACCTACTCCAGTACAGAATCCCCAGAGAGTTGTGTCAGTGAACATCTGTCTTGAAAACTTGATTCTTTTATGCTGCATTCGTTTGATTTTGAGTACAAGTATTACAGTTTTTGAAAGATACAAATGTGGTATCAGATGGAAAATAGTACTGTCACATTAGAAGACTCTTTGCTTGACAACATTAAAAGAAACTTAAAGTAAACAGCTACTGTTTGTATGTTGGTAAATGTTGCTCAGAAATGTTCCAGCTATACCACATGCCATGTAAATAATCGAGCCAGACAATCAAGTGATTGTTGTGGGCAGCAATTGGTATGATGATACTCAAGTACGTGGCCTCGCCTCACCACCCAACCATTTGGTCACCCAATACAACCAGCATGCAATTCTGGGTACCGATGCTTAACTGGAATCACAACAAGGAAAAGAGACAAAAGGTTTACCAACCTTAAACATCCCTTGGGGTTTCAGCTTCTTGTAGCCAGACAATGCCTTGTCAGCATTGCTGATTGTCCGTTGATACAAGGCTATGGCTTCGGTCCATTTCTTCGCAGCAGAGTATGACTGAGCAATGTAAAAGGATCTGAAAGGAGAGAATGTAATAAGAGTGAGTGATTGAGGTGAGTTTTACGCCGTACTCAGTAATATTCCAGCTATATGGCGGCGGTCTGTAAATAATCGAGTCTGGACCAGACAAACCAGTGATCAACAGCATGAGCATCAATCTGCGCAATTGGGAACCGATGACATGTGTAACCAAGCCAGCGAGCCTCACCACCCAATCCTGTTAGTCGCCTCTTACGACAAGCATGGGATACTGAAGATTCATTCTAACCTGGGATCTTCACGGGTCGAGTGTAATAAGAATACAGCACAATGTTGTCATATGCCATTGTGATATTGGCCATTAGATAATTCTAAACAGTATCTCACTAATATCAGAGTACACTTCAGCTCAATATGAGGAATAAAAGCCCAAACTGATGCAAGTCTCCAGTAATAATGAGTGATTCCAACACAAAAAAAATATCATGACTTAAGTGAAGCTTGGATTAAAACATCACAAGCCGAGTATCCCCACAGGCAAGGGAGACAACTCTGCATTGGAAGTTTTGATGCTGAAAACCAATGGACGGCCACTTACAACCAAAGTGACTTGTTTTGCTTTTTTTCCGTAAGAACAAACTCAGTGAGTTGAGTTTTATGCCAAGACTCAGCTATATTCCAGCTATATGGCGGTCTGTAAATAATCGAAGTCTGGACCAGACAATCAACACCATGAGCATCAACCTGTGCAATTAGGAACCGATGACGTGTGCCAACCAAGCCAGCGAGCCTGACCATCCGATCCTGTTAAGTCGCCTCTTACGACAAGCATGAGTTACTGAAGGTTCATTCTAACCCCAGACCTTCACAGGTTCATAAGAACAACAGAATATGAGCTAGTAAGAAATATTCTCTTCTCATAATCATAGCATTTCACTTACCTAAATGCTTTAAAACTTGTGACTCTGGTTGTGATCTCCTCGAACAATGATGGACTTTCTTCTAACCCATGAAGATTGGGTATATCATTTAAATTCTGAAAGGGAGACAAACATATACCTGTAACAGATCCCTATCAATCCTACCACCTTGTTATAACCCATGAGCACAGGCATGGAGCTTTCAAACCTAGAAACATAATTGTGGCGAACCCATCACCACAGGCTTCTGACGTGCAAAGAGACACATCACTGCACACCAAATTGCATCCCCAACCGAACCACTGATTTCCCTGACATACCCTTGTGGGTATTCAGAATATATCAAGCATACAGAACCCCCTCAATAAAGAATCCCAGTGCTTACATCACCTCACCTGAATAATGATGTCATACAGTCTAACGAGGTCTTGAGGCTTGGTGATCTTCCTGCCCTCCTCTGCCACCTTCCCTGGCAGGTAGTTCTGGAGGTTGTCTATTAGCAACAGGTTTCTCTCCACGGTCTTGGTGAGCCGCAGGTAAGTCAGGTATGAGTGGAGATAGTGCTGGTTGGAGATCCTCCCTTCTACTGGCTGGCCACGAGTTGCAGCTTTAAACACCTACATAAACATCATGGAGTGAGTGAGTTTAGTTTTACAATATTTTTACGCCGCTTTTAGCAATATTCCAACAATATCACTGCGGGGGACACAAGAAATGGCATCACAAATTGTACCCATGTGGGAAATCATAAGAGAGGAGAGAGAGAGGAGAGAGAGAGGGAGTCTTATACCAGAGGAACAGTGTTCACTTCTGACCAGTGGTAGGCTATCACCACTGCCCCCAAATTGTTTTTCATATGGAACTGTTCAGCTACAGTTCATTACAATATTACAAAGTGTAAAATATTCAGTTCTAACAAACATTCTTCAAAAATATTCAGTCATGACTTTTCAGAAAGTGAAGTGAGTGTTCTTGAGAAATTAACACGTTGAGGTCCTGACAGCGTCCTAGATATGTTCCATCATCAAGTATTTCAAACTCTATTATAGCGGTTCCAAAATCGTTTGTGTTGATTATGAGAATATGTGATCAAGCTAGTGGTTTGGCCAGCAATCTTGATTATTTATAATCGGACCACCAAGCTATTGCATAAATAATGACAGTGATCATTCAGTGGCATAAAATGTTTCCGATATGTATATGCATTGGTGGTTGGTATTGAACCCCAATTGTGATAAGCTTGTATTAGTGCATGATTATCCCCAATAACATAAGTGACCTACATATGCATTGACGTAGCAAGACCCCAGTGATGAGCGTCGGGTGGTGACCCTGTGCAAAGTAAACCAAATGTACCTGATCATCCTGTAGAGCATCTCGCAGAGCCTGCTGGGCATCAATACACTCCTTCAGCAAGGACTCATAAATGGACACTTTAGTCTCATTATTCTCTGCTGACTCCAGCTCCTTGGAGCTCTCCTGTATGTTGAGGAGGAACACCCTCACAGACTCAGTTTTCACCGGCACTGTCCGTCCCTGCCACGTTATCTCGGACAATGTGGCTGCCTGCTTTTCTCGGGTCTGAGACAGCAGATCCTGCAGGACAAAGAGATTCACTTATGATACAATATGTGCACAACGTACACAAAATACTAATCACCTTAGGTAAGTTTCACAAGCAAAATCATGTTCTTTTACAGGAAATCTATGCAAAAGTGACTTGTTTCATTCCAGTCAGCAGACCAGAGCTCAACAGTGAGTAAGTGAGTTTAGTCTTGTGCCACTTTTAGCAATATTCCAGCAATATCACAGCGGACAACACCAGAAATGGGCTTCACACATTGTACCCAATCGAACACGGGTGTTTGGTGTGACTAGCAAACACTTTAACCACTAGGCCACCCCAATGTGAAAAGGTCAGTAGCATCACTTGAAATTACATACTGAGGACCAATCAACGACATAATCACATATCGTATATTGTACCCTTGTAGGAATTGAACCTGGGTCATTGGCGTGACAAGCGAACGCTTTAACCACCACTTTTAGCAACATTCGATCAATATCACAGCTGGGGACACCAGAAATGGGCTTTGCACATTGTACCCATGTGGGGAATAGAACCCTGGTCTTCAAGGTGATGAACGATCGCTTTAACCACTAGGCTACCCCAACACCCCCTGAACTGACTGCATATTACAGGCTGAGGTACAATCAACGACACGATCACCACATTGTAGACTTCTTTTGAGCGAGACATGACAATCACAGGTACTGGCAGTGTCACTATGCCATTCAGTTCACCTAAGCAAAACCCATGTAGAAATAGGACACGCAAAAAGGACTTTAACATGTTCAAGACTACTACACTCATATAACGGTATGTCCATGCTGAAATAATTATGAGAAGTGACTTATACCAATCAAGATAAATATTTCACTAACATCCAGTTTTGATGTGAGTTGGTCCTCTCCTGACTTGAGCCTCATGTTCTGGAGGTCCCGAATGGCGGACTCATCCCCGATGTTGTAGGCACAGTAGCGTATATTGGGGGAGATCTCCTCCACACGTGACTGGTACAACACCTGCAGGTCCTCTGTCAGAGCTCCAGACAGCTTCTCATAGATCGTCCTGAAAGCAAAAATGCACTACCTACTGTAAAAGTGTACTACGCTATTGTATCTGTTATGCTAGACTATACTGTTTGCTATGCCAACACTGTTGTTTCATTGTACCATATTCACCATAGGAGGTAATGGCCCAAGGAACTGAAATAATATCCTTAGCCTGACTATACTTACTCTTATAAGTGAGGTGAGGTGAGGTGAGGTGAGGTGAGGTGAGGTGAGGTGAGGTGAAATTGGGTTTAATATCGGCTTGAGAATATTTCGCTCATATGATGACGTGCATGCATGTGTATATGCGGCTGCTTGTACTAGCCCAGACTGATGCTGGTTTTATAGTGCTAGCCCAATGAGATACCATGCCGCAGTGAAGCATCAATACCCCACTCAGACACATTATACTGACTCCGAGCCGACCAGTCCTTGTTGTACCCATTAATGCCAAGCGCCAGACAGGGACCAACAAGTACCATATTTTAGCGTCTTTTGGTATGGCGGCGACAGGGGGAACCGACCTTCCGCTCTCCAGGCGGACACTCTAACCACTACACCACAGGGGCGGTCCTCTTATAAGTATATTATGCACTACTTACTGTATCGGTTATGCTGGACTATAATGTTTGCCATGCCAACATTGATATTCCATTGTATTACATTCACCATAAACAACATGTAGCCTGAATATACTTTCTCTTGTAAGTGTACTACGCACTACTTGCTGTATATGTCATGCTAGTCTATATTGCTTGTTATGCCAACACTGTTACTCCATCAAACCATACTTATATACTTTTGTATATGCTCCACTGAAATGAATATAAATAGTGAAAAAAAAGAAGATATCTCATTTGTATTCATTTGTCAGTCACCATGCAAACAATAGCCTGGTTAGTTAACGCTGCACTCAGCAAATATTCCAGCTATATGGCAGCAGTCTGTACATAGTCGAGCCTGGAACAGATGGAGCCAATCCAGTGATGAACAGCATGAGCATCGATCTGTGCAGTTGGGATATGATGACATGTGTCAACCAAGTCAGCGAGCCTGACCACCCGATACTGTTAGTAGCCTCTTACGACAAGCATGGGTTGCTGAAGACCAGTTCTAACCTGGATACTCATGGATCTAATGGCCTGGTGACAAAATTGAAACAAATAATGTAACAGTTTACAACAATTCCCTTACTTTGCACTTGTGTACTGTTCCATAGCATTCTCCCAACTCGAGGATTCAAAGTAGAGTGAACCTTTGATCCATGCATTGTAGGCCTGAAAATAAGCAGAAACTTTCAAAGTATTGATCAAACATTTCATATCTGCACATACCAAGGAGAAATGGAATTGTTTCCCTGTTAACATTGCTTGTCATCATGGTTATGTGATAAGAAAAACCTGTTGAGATGTTTCATGTACATTATTAAAGATGACACAGCTTAACAAAATTGAAAGGGGAAAGAAAAACCACATACAACCTGTTCCATTGTTGATAACAAAACTCAGTTGTGTGTTCAGACTTGATTATTAACATCATATATAGACAACCAAGCTGACTGCAGTGAGTGAGTGAGTATGGTTTTATGCTGCTTTTAGCAATATTCCAGCAATATGACGGCGGGGGACACCAGAAATGGGCTTCACACATTGTACCCATGTGGGGATTCGAACCCAGGTCTTCGGCGTGACGAGCCAACGCTTTAACCACTAGGCTACCCCACCGGCCCCTGACTGCAGAGTCAAACTACACACATTTCAGTACAAACATACAACTAGACATGAGTAGTGAGTGAATGAGTTTTGTTTTGTTTGTTGTTTAACGCCGCACTCAGCAATAGTGAAGCTATATGGTGGGGGTCTGTTAGTAAACAAGTCTGGACCAGACAATCCAGTGATCAACAGCATGGGCATCATCGCAATTGGGATATGAGAACAGTGTCAAAAAGTCAGTGAGCCTGACCACCCAATCCCATTAGTAGCCCCTTACAGGTACTGGTCACAGACACACTACTGATTTTTCAAATCCACAGGTGAGGAGCCAACAAATGGTATAATACAATCAGGGAGAAATGGCATTCAGTTTAACCAACTATCATAGATTTATCACCCAAAGGGACACAACTCTGGTCATCAAACTGCAGTGTCCTTGACAATTGGGACAGTTATGTCCCTTAGAACAGTACAAAGTGTTTTCCACTGACCTGACACTCCAACTTTGTCCTGGCATCACACTTGGGGCTTTCACTGAGGGCATTCAGTTCATCTGCATGCTGCACAGACTTCTTGAGACGCGACATTAAATGGAACCTTTTCCTTGGCTCTGTGTTGGCTTCTGACTGGAGCTGCATTGCAAATGCCCACGCCCTCTCTGCAGAGAACAGTGGTAACTGAAGATATCTGAAAAAAACATTTATACAGGTAGGGTTAAAGGTTAATTACCTCACTTCAAAAGTGGCAAACCACAAGGAAATGTCTCTAGTTGTCTATAATCTTAAAAGTCACAGAGTAAATGAGCGACCATTGTTTTAAGCCGCTATTTCCAATATCACGACAAGCGACAAAAGAAAAGGGCTTCACATATTGCACCCATGCGCTGAATTGAACCTGGGTTATCGTTGTTACGAACTAACACATCAACAACGTGACTACCCCACCACCCTACTAGTCTTGGACAAAGTAGACATATGTTAATTAAAACTTAATCTGAAACAGTTTAGACACAAACACAACTTATTAAAAATGAAACAGTAAAATTACTTAAAATGGGTTCACATGATGCTCAATACCTTGGATCTGTCATCATTTCTACAGTGATTTTCTTCGGTTGGACTCTGTGTTTACCACCCTGTGGAAAGTGTAGAGACTTGCGTATTCTCCTGATTCTCCTTGAACAGTAACTCCTGTAAAACACATACACGAACATGTCACAGTCAGGAGTTACTCTATGCTGACCTGGATCAATTACAATTCAGTTCACTATGTGCTTATGCTTTATCACTGCTGTGGCATTATTGCACCTGTCCGCCCGAATACCGGGTTTTCCATATTAAATGGTGAGTTTAGTTTCAGAAAACTAAACTCAGTCAGTCAGTTATCACTGCTGTGGCATTATTGCACCTTTCCAGTATTCCAGCAATTTCAGAAACTTTACAACGGGAACACCAGAAATGGACTTCACATATTGTACCCATGTAGGGAATCGAACCCGGATCTTCAGCGCGATGACTGTTTGCTTTAACCATGAGGCTACCTCACCACAGCCTCTGCTAAATGAGCGGGAACAACTTATTTCTTCAAATCAGGTTGAATATGGTGTCAAAACAAAAGATCCTGTAACTCCCAAAAAACAAACTAACATTAAAAACCATAGGCAAGAGAGAAAAAAAGTTTCAAATAATTTGAAGAATCATCAAAAGAATTTATCACAATCAAGCCATGGATTAAGTTGTCATGTTACTGATAAAAAAGAGAATGATGCAACTGTTATTCTCACCTGTATCGCTGGTAGTCACCGTGTCTGAGGCCATGTTGTTGCTGTGCCTCCTTGATTAACTGGAGAACTGGAAAGACAGAATCCATACTAATAAACCGTGGTTACTCTCAGTCTTAAGAAAACAGCACGTCAACATCTCCAACTTCGGGTGAGTGAAAACGAGGATTAACACCTTCCTCAAGATTATTTATCACTTAGTGATGTGCAGATTATGAGATTGTCAGAAAACTGACTGAGTGAGAGTTTGGTTTTACGCCGCTTTTAGCAATATTCCAGCAACATCACAGCGGGGGACACCAGAAATGGGCTTCACACATTGTACTCTGAACCTGGGTCTTCGGTGACGAGCCAACACTTTATTGTCAGAAAACAACTTAACATCATAAACATATGTGGGAATTTCAAACCTGGGTCCAATTCTGGACAATCTCTGAATTTTTCTGGACCATCTCTTTTTTCAATCTGACAACCAAAAGCTCTTTGCTTGAAATCCAAGCAGAAAATGATCAAATAATACACAAGTTCTTCTGACATGTCTGTGCTGTGAGTTTGAAAATACAAATCGCTTGTGTCCTCCTTTCAAGTTGAAATGTGCAATGATATGTTCTGTCCCTATTTCTTATAAAGAAATAAGAACCCCACCTGTAGGAATACTAACTAAAAACACATTTAACATGACAAAATGTGTTACCACAACGTCACCTGAATTTGGGGTATTCCAACAAGCTAACTAGTTGTGGAAGCCGAGGTGGCTGAGGGGGTTAGGTAGCTGACTCTGACCATATAATGGTCTCTGCTCTGAGGGTGTGGGTTCGAATCCTGGACTCAACCCAACAAAAGTAATAGAATCTGTTCTTTACCAAGAAAGTGTAATCCCACATATAACATACGTTACAAAGCTATCTAGTTTCATATTTACATTACATGTTAATCAAAACTGTTCTTTTCATTGCTTGACATATTCCTAGACATATGCACAGTATTATTGCACTCAGAGGAAAACAACATACTTTATGTTAACATTTATCATAGTCGAAATTTTAATGAATTTGGTGTTAAACAACAGACAAACCAATGACGGGCTAACGGTTTATAAGATGTTCATGTTTTGGTAAGAAACAGTATTGTCGACATCGACATTAAAACTTACAAACTGATTAACGTTTAATGTATGTACCTAATACATTGACCCTGAACACCACCTTACTATTAAGTGAACATCTTCTATACAAACTGAGAACTACTTGTCATGTGAAACATATGGAATAATGGACGAGAGAATTCTAATGACTTCAAACTGCTGTCACATCAACACATCCTCAATATGGTCAAAGTAATTATCTGTGGTCAGTTCATGTTTTCATTTGTCACCGCATGCAGTAATCAGCACTTGTTATTCAAGAACTCTAAATCAGTAGATGAGCATAACCTATCCATATCCAGATGTTCGTTTTTGCAAAAATTAGTCACATGTTCGAACATATTGGTCTCATTCCATTTAGAAATATGACATGCTTTTACACTCAGAAAGAAGATAAATCAAGGGAATTCTCTTGTGTTCATTACCATACCTTCTACCGTAAATGACTGGGGTATTGCTTGATTTGAAGTCGTCTGTTCGCCAGACATTTCATTTTCTTGGCCCACGCTTTCCCCTTCGCCCGCCATCTTGTTTTCTGACACGACTAATAATGCCGCGCCCCCTACCGGAAAAGTATACTCGGGACATAACTCTCACTGCCCGACAGTGATTCGATGCTCATTATTGACATTGTGGCGATGCATAAAACGCAGCTCCGTTTTACGTGGATCAAATAATGTTGTATGCTAAGGGACAGTGTGAAAATAGAAAGTGTGTCTCATAGTTCTGTTTCAATTTAGATATTATGATATTTGTAATTCCATTATCACAAAAATCATCTTGGCAATTTTGCTAATTATAACGTATAGGTCATGTCTTCTGGTCAAATCGTTGTTTCAAAAACCACATATGAAATAAATACAGTTTTTTGTGGTCACATTTCTGATACTATCGCTGCGTTTGTTCAAACTTTATAATAACTTAAATTGGAAAACCCAAATTTTCAGTTTGGGAGGTATTTTAAAGCTTAAACAAGCCCAGGTCAGGTAGTGTATTTGATCACATAAATGTGACGTTTTACGTTGAAAACACTTGTTACAACAGACCAATTATGTGTTCCAGTCTGAAATTCCAAATATTGTCCACTCACTGACCACTCACTCACTCGACCCAAGGGTATTTCCCAGGAACCTATGTTTGTCGGAAGAGCGACTGAATGGATCGTTGATATGGTTGGTTGCATTCATGTTCGATGCTCATTATTTCAATCACTGGATTGTTTGGTTGGAGTCAATTACATTTAAATGGAACATTCCTGCTTGCGGATTTAAACAGCACTCTCTCAATCACTCATTAGGGGGCGCTGGGTTAGCCTCGTGGTCAGAGCCTTCGCTCATCACGCAGAAGACCTGGGTTCCATAACTCACATGGTTACAATATTTGAAACCTATTTCTGATGTCCCCTGCAGTGATATTGCTGGAATATCTGAAATATTGCTAAAAGCGGCGTAAAACTACACTCACTCACGGATCACCTTGTGTTTTAAGATGCCGTAATTCTCAGCTCAGAGTTGCGCCCCTTTTCAATCGCAAGTGATAAACGTCTACGACACGCGTCAGTTAAGAATTGTATCTCCATTAGTAGCCCCGAAGATCCAGGTTATAACTGATCTTCACCAACCCATGCTTCTAAGAGGCGAGGGCGGTGGGGTAGCCTAATGGTTACAGCGTTGGCTCGTCACGCCGAAGACCCGGGTTCGAATCCCCACATGGGTACAATGTGTGAAGCCCATTTCTGGTGTCCCCGCCGTGATGTTGCTGGAATATTGCTAAAAGCGGCGTAAACCAAACTCAGTCAGTCAGTTCTAAGAGGCGACTAACGGGATCGGGTGGCCAGGCTCGATGACTTGGTTGGCACATACCATCGTATCCCAACTGCGTAGATTGATGCTCATGCTGTTGATGAGCAGATGGTCCAGACTCAATTATTTACAGACCGCATCCAAATAGCTGTAAAATTGCTGAGTGCGGCGTTCAACAACGCACCAACCAACGTAAGAGACGCTAAACGGGACGGGATGGATGTCATCGGTTCCCTGTTGCGTAGATCGGTACTCATGATGTCATTCCAACTGGATTGTCTAGGCCAGACTCCATTATTTACAAGCCGCCATCATATAGCTGGAATATTTCTGTGTGCGGCATTAAACAACAAAGAAACAAATCTATTCTCCAACAGTGAGTGAGTTTAGTTTTACGCCGCACTCAGCAATATTCAGGCTATATGGCGGCGGTCTGTAAATAATCGACCGCCTCCGTAGTGTAATGGTTAGAGCGTCCGCCAGGAGAGCGGAAGGTCGCGGGTTCGATCCCCGACTGCGTCATACCCAAAGACGTTAAAATATGGTACTTGTTGGTCCTTGCCTGGCGCTCGGCATTAATGGGTACAACAAGGACTGGTCGGCTCGGAGTCAGTATAATGTGTCTGAGTGGGGAATTCATGCTTCACTGTGGTATGGTATCTCAGTGGGCCAGCACTATAAAAAAAACCAGCTTCAGTCTGGGCTAGTACAAGCAGCCGCACATACACATACACACGCATGCACGTCGTCGTATGAGCGAAATATTCTCAAGCACGACGTTAAACCCAATTTCACCTCACCTCACCTGTAAATAATCGAGTCTTGACCAGACAATCAAGTGATCAACAGCATGAGCACTAAACCATACTTATATACTTTTGTATATGCTCCACTGAAATGAATAAAAATATTGAAAAAGAAAATGATGTCTCATTTGTATTCATTTGTCAGTCACCATGCAAACAATAGCCTGGTTAGTTAACGCTGCAATCAGCAAATATTCCAGCTATATGGCAGCAGTCCGTAAATAATCGAGCCTGGAACAGATGGAGCCAATCCAGTGATGAACAGCATGAGCATCGATCTGTGCAGTTGGGATACGATGATATGAGTCAACCAAGTCAGCGAGCCTGACCACCCGATCCCGTTAGTCGCCTCTTACGACAAGCATGGGTTGCTGAAGATTCATTCTAACCCGGACCTTCACGGGTTCTCCAACAGTACACTGACAGCATTGATTTGACGAAATATTGTTCGAATCGATTTGTGAAATAAGCCCAAAACGTTTCCTCATTAACGTACACACAAGCACGCACACTCGTATGGAGCTGCCGGTAAAAATATTTTCGGGAATACAATGGCAGCTTAAAATATCTAATATGTGTATTCGACAAGAGGGAAGTTTAACACGAAGGTGGACAACGTCACGTCGGGGACGCTGGAGGCAAGGTAAGAACACAGACGCTCATTTTTTAACATTTCATCGTTATAATTGATTAAGATTATTTATTAGAATTGATTAAGATAAGCGTCAGAGAAGCGGTGATGTTCTTGATACTGGTGCCGTAGGCGATATGTCGTGAATCATAGGAATGAGTATTACACAACAGGTGACGTGATGTGTCAAGAGACAAGGAGTGGCCATTTTCAGTAATGAGCAGAGTAAAGTGTAAATAGTCAAGCATATACTTTTTTGCAATTATCTGATCAGTGGAAATACCAGAAAATGGCCTTTTTAAAGTGAGTGAGTGAGTTTAGTTTTATGCCGCTTTAGCAATATTCCAGCAATATCACGGCGGGGACACCACAAATGGCTTTACACATTGTACCCATGTGGGGAATTGAACCCGGGTCTTTGGCGTGACGAGCGAACGCTTTAACCACAGGCAAATTGTAGCTCAAATAGGGTTGCGCAACAAAGAGAAAATGACCAGTCTTCCCATATGCGAGTTTCTCTTTGTTGCTCAACCCTATTTGCGCTACAATTTGCCTGTGCTTTAACCAGTAGGAGTTGAAACTGTTTGACATCGCGATCAAAAGTATTGAAACATGCATGTCGGATTATGCCTCCTCTCTCTCTCTCCTCTCTCTCTCTCTCTCTCTCTCTCTCTCTCTCTCTCTCTCTCTCTCTCTCTCTCTCTCTCTCTCTCTCTCTCTCTCTCTCTCTCTCTCTCTCTCTCTCTCTCTCTCTCTCTCTCTCTCTCTCTCTCTCTCTCTCTTCCCACCCCCCCCCCCAGCGTGTGCGTGGTCCGTAAGTGCGAGAGTGTCTGTTCTGTCTCTGTGTGTGCGCAGGGAGACTATATAACGTGTTGTAGATTATCCCTGGTGTGCGCGCGCCTGTTAGTGTGAGGTACACTGGTGTGACACCAACTAACCTCTAACCCTTGTATTCTTGCAGAATGGCACTCCTTCCAGGAATCTGTCTGTTGGTGTTGGTCATCGTGGTGCCAGGGGAGTCTCAGAACGTCGTCACGTTGCAGGGGGATGTCCTCATTGGAGGGTTGTTCTCTATCCAGACAAGTGAAGACGGCCAGTGTACTGGCATCAACCGTGTGTCTGTTCAAGTTCACGAAGCCGTTCGGTGGACCCTCCAGCAACTTAATCGCCAGAACTTCATCCCCGAGGTCACGCTAGGTAGATAGAAATATGGCAAATTATTAATTCCTCAGTCTTCATGGTGATTATGAAACCAACTGACCACCAGAAATACACCCAGTCGTCTCAGGCGCTCCAATCAACTGTCAGAAATGCGCCCACAAAATGCCTGATTTGAGTTCGAATCCCCGTTCTGCCTGCTTATGGTTCTAGATTTGTTAGCTTCATAACCAAACTGATGAATACAGTCTAACATCTGTATCACTTCGGGTTTTCCTCCCTCAAGGTAACACGCCGTTATACAACTGAAATACAGCTTAAACCCACAGGCCCTCGTGTCTTTGCGAAGATTAAAGATTAAAATAAGAGATGGCCCCGACTCGAAATGCTACTCAGAACAATAATGTACTGTGAAGCATTTCGAGTCGGGGGTCATCTCAAATTTTTTTAATATTTTTCTTAACATTTTTAATCCTCGGAAAGACACGAGGGCATGTGCTTAAACCGGCGTGAAACCAAACTCACTCAAAACTCACAATGTCATTTTCACCTTGACTATCATGGGCTGTTTGCTATGTCTTCGCCCCAACATTTGTGGAAGTTGATTGAACATAAGCGATATATGCTACTGAGTGTGTGTTGAAACTCACAGACTTCAATCTACAAGCCAAAACATGGGTACAATGTGTAAAGCCTATTTCTGGTGTCCCCCGCCGTGATATAGCTGGAATATTGCTAAAGGCGGCGTAAAACTTAACTCACTCACTCACTCACAAGCCAAAACATGGTGCAATGTGTGAAGCCCATTTCTGGTGTCCCCCGCCGTGATATAGCTGGAATATTGCTCAAAGCGGCGTAAAACTTATCTCACTCACTCACAAGCCAAAACAATGAGCCAGTACAATTTACTATATAACGTCAACAAGAGCCGTAAAGAGTAGTGAGAGTACTGAGAGCCGTATACCACCCCAAACCCCATCTTTCACCACCTATGGTATGTAAACTATTTGATATGTGTTTCCTCGATGCAGTAAAACCATCGTACATGTGTTTTCTTCAAAGTAGGAAACTGTTGTATGTGTGGTTTCTTCCAAGTTTTAAAATCACAGCACATGTGTTTTCTTCAAAGAAGTAAAACTATGGTACATGGTATGGTATATGCTTTTTCGTCCTTGTTAGTAAAAATTATGGTATATGCTTTTTCGTCCTTGTAGTAAAACTATGGTATATGCATTTTCGTCCTTGTAGTAAAACTATGGTATATGTGCGTTTTCGTCCTTGTAGTAAAACTATGGTATATGTGTTTTCGTCCTTGTAGTAAAACTATGGTATGTGCGTGTTTTCGTCCTTGTAGTAAAACTATGGTATGTGCGTTTTCGTCCTTGTAGTAAAACTATGGTATATGTGTTTTCGTCCTTGTAGTAAAACTATGGTATGTGCGTTTTCGACCTTGTAGTAAAACAATGGTATGTGCGTTTTCGTCCTTGTAGTAAAACTATGGTATGTGCGTTTTCGACCTTGTAGTAAAACTAAGGTTCATGTATATTCGTTTTCGTCCTTGTAGTAAAACTAAGGTTCATGTATATTCGTTTTCGTCCTTGTAGTAAAACTATGGTTCATGTATATTCGTTTTCGTCCTTGTGGTAAAACTATGGTTCATGTATATTCGTTTTCGACCTTGTAGTAAAACTAAGGTTCATGTATATTCGTTTTCGACCTTGTAGTAAAACTAAGGTTCATGTATATTCGTTTTCGACCTTGTAGTAAAACTAAGGTTCATGTATATTCGTTTTCGGTAGTCTATGGTTCATGTATATTCGTTTTCGTAAAACTATGGTTATGGTTTTCATGTAGTAAAACTATGGTTCATGTATATTCGTCCTTGTAGTAAAACTACATGTATATTCGTTTTCGTTGTAGTAAAACTAAGGTTCATGTATATTCGTTTTCGACCTTGTAGTAAAACTATGGTTATGTATATTCGTTTTCGACCTTGTAGTATGGTTCATGTATAGGTTTTCGTAGTTTCGAGTATATTCGTTTTCGTCCTTGTAGTAAAACTATGGTTCATGTATCATTCGTTTTCGTCTGTGTAGTTCACGAAGCCGTTCGGTTCAGCAATAATTCGAACTTTTCGTCACCTAGGTAGTAAAAATATGGTTCATGTATATTCGTTTTCTTCCTTGTAGTAAAACCAACTGACCACCAGAAATACACCCAGTCGTCTCAGGCGTCCAAAACTGTCAGAAATGCGCCCACAAAATGCCTGATTTATTCGAATTTTCTGCCATTATGGAAATAGGTTTGTTAGGCATAACAAGACTGTTCAAACCAGCTCTAACATCTGTAACACTTCGGGTTTCCTCCCTCAATACAGACCGTTAGACAGAATGACAATCACTTCTTAAACGGTAAGTTGAGAACGTTTTCCGAAGATTAAAGGTTACTAAGCCTGGTAATGCAGTGAATGCTCGTCGGAACAATAAGACCATGCTACAATTGCTCATCGTATTTTTTATATTTTTCTTATCATTTTATCCTCGGAAAGACACGAGGGCATGTGCTTAAACCGACGTGAAACCAAACTCACTCAAAAACTCACAATGTCATTTTCACCTTGACTATCATGGGCTGTTTGCTATGTCTTCGCTCCAACATTTGTGGAAGTTGATTGAACATAAGCGATATATGCTACTGAGTGTGTGTTGAAACTCACAGACTTCAATCTACAAGCCAAAACATGGGTACAATGTGTAAAGCCCATTTCTGGTGTCCCCCGCCGTGATATAGCTGGAATATTGCTCAAAGCGGCGTAAAACTTATCTCACTCACTCACAAGCCAAAACAATGAGCCAGTACAATTTACTATATAACGTCAACAAGAGCCGTAAAGAGTAGTGAGAGTACTGAGAGCCGTATACCACCCCAAACCCCATCTTTCACCACCTATGGTATGTAAACTATTTGATATGTGTTTCCTCGATGCAGTAAAACCATCGTACATGTGTTTTCTTCAAAGTAGGAAACTGTTGTATGTGTGGTTTCTTCCAAGTTTTAAAATCACAGCACCTGTGTTTTCTTCAAAGAAGTAAAACTATGGTACATGGTATGGTATATGCTTTTTCGTCCTTGTTGTAAAAATTATGGTATATGCTTTTTCGTCCTTGTAGTAAAACTATGGTATATGCATTTTCGTCCTTGTAGTAAAACTATGGTATATGTGCGTTTTCGTCCTTGTAGTAAAACTATGGTGTGTTTTCGTCCTTGTAGTAAAACTATGGTATGTGTGTTTTCGTCCTTGTAGTAAAACTATGGTATGTGCGTTTTCGTCCTTGTAGTAAAACTATGGTATATGTGCGTTTTCGTCCTTGTAGTAAAACTATGGTATGTGCGTTTTCGTCCTTGTAGTAAAACTATGGTATGTGCGTTTTCGACCTTGTAATAAAACTAAGGTTCATGTATATTCGTTTTCGTCCTTGTAGTAAAACTATGGTTCATGTATATTCGTTTTCGTCCTTGTGGTAAAACTATGGTTCATGTATATTCGTTTTCGTCCTTGTAGTAAAACTATGGTTCATGTATATTCGTTTTCGACCTTGTAGTAAAACTATGGTTCATGTATATTCGTTTTCGACCGAGGTTCCTTGACCTTGTAGTAACTAAGGTTCATGTATATTCGTTTTCGGTTCATGTATATTCGTTTTCGACCTTGTAGTAAAACTATGGTTCATGTATATTCGTTTTCGACCTTGTAGTAAAACTATGGTTCATGTATATTCGTTTTCGACCTTGTAGTAAAAAACTAAAACTATGGTTCATGTATATTCGTTTTCGACCTTGTAGTAAAACTAAGGTTCATGTATATTCGTTTTCGTTCACAACCAGCCTTGTAGTAATAAACTATGGTAACCAAACATGTATATTCGTTTTCGACCTTGTAGTAACCACTACAAATTAAGATCCTGGTTCCCCACCTTTTCCCCAAACACACAACTAGAGTAATACGACACATGAAACAGAAAGGTGTTCCCCAAATACTTGCTTTCAACTGTTTGCTGAATCCAGTAATTTATCCGAGCTGTAGTCTAATGGGAATCAATGTATCGTAACGTTGTGTTATTCTACAAAGCTGACATTACAGTGAAAGAACGTGGACCAGAAAGAATAAAAATATACATCTAATACAGGGATAACACATGCCAGCTTCCTCATTCACACTATTCATACACTTTGCATGTTTGTCAACTTTGTTATTTAAAGTGTCCATAACAAGCACGACGTATTTTTGACAACTTCTTTATTAACAGTGTTCATAACAAGCACGTTGCATGTTTGACAACTTCTTTCTTTACAGTGTTCATAACAAGCACGTTGTATGTTGACAACTTCCCTCCCCACACTGTTCATAACAAGCACGTTGTATGTTTGACAACTTCTTTATTTACAGTGTTCATAACAAGCACGCTGTATGTTTGACTACTTCTTACTTTACAGTGTTCATAAAAAGCACGTTGTATGTTTGACAACTTCTTTATTTACAATGTTCATAACAAGCACGTTGTATGTTGACAACTTCTTTATTTCCAGTGTTCATAACAAGCACGTTGTATGTTTGACAACTTCTTACTTTACAGTGTTCATAACAAGCACTTCGTATGTTTGACAAGTTCTCCCCTCACACTCTTCATAACAAGCACTTCGTATTTTTGACAACTTCTTTATTAACAGTGTTCATGACAAGCACGTTGTATGTTTGACAACTTCTCTCCTCACATTCTTTATAACAATCACTTCGTATGTTTGACAACTTCTTTATTCACAGTGTTCATGACAAGCACGTTGCATGTTTGACAACTTCTCTCTTCACACTGTTCATAACAAGCACCTTGCATGTTTGACAACTTCTCTCCTCACACTCTTTATAACAAGCACTTCGTATGTTTGACAACTTCTTTATTTGCAGAGTTCATAACAAGCACGTTGTATGTTTGACAACTTCTTTATTCACAGTGTTCATAACAAGCACCTTGCATGTTTGACAACTTCTCTCCTCACACTCTTTATAACAAGCACTTCGTTTGTTTGACAACTTCTTTATTCACAGTGTTCATAACAAGCACGTTGTATGTTTGACAACTTCTTTATTTACCATAACAAGCACGTTGTATTTTTGACAACTTGTTTATTTACAGTGTTCATAACAAGCACGTTGTATGTTTGACAACTTCTCTCCTCACAATCTTCAGAACAAGCACTTTATGTGTTTGACAACTTCTATATTTACAGTGTTCATAACAAGCACGTTGTATGTTTGACAAGTTCTCTCCTCACAATCTTCAGAACAAGCACTTTATGTGTTTGACAACTTCTATATTCACCATAACAAGCACGTTGTATGTTTGACAACTTCTTTATTCACCATAACAAGAACGTTGTATTTTTGACAACTTGTTTATTTACAGTGTTCATAACAAGCACGTTGTATGTTTGACAAGTTCTCTCCTCACAATCTTCAGAACAAGCACTTTATGTGTTTGACAACTTCTATATTTACAGTGTTCATAACAAGCACGTTGTATGTTTGACAAGTTCTCTCCTCACAATCTTCAGAACAAGCACTTTATGTGTTTGACAACTTCTATATTCACCATAACAAGCACGTTGTATGTTTGACAACTTCTTTATTCACCATAACAAGTACGTTGTATGTTTGACAACTTCTCTCCTCACACTGTTCATAACAAGCACTTCGTATGGTTGACAACTTCTTTATTTGCATTGTTCATAACAAGCACGTTGTATGTTTGACAACTTCTCTCCTCACAATCTTCAGAACAAGCACTTTATGTGTTTGACAACTTCTATATTTACAGTGTTCATTACAAGCACGTTGTATGTTTGACAACTTCTTTATTCACAGTGTTTATAACAAGCACGTTGTAAGTTTGACTACTTTTTTATTTGCAGTGTTCATAACAAGCACGTTTTATGTTTGACAACTTCTTTATTTGCATTGTTCATAACAAGCACGTTGTATGTTTGACAAGTTCTTTATTCACAGTGTTTATAACAAGCACGTTGTAAGTTTGACTACTTTTTTATTTGCAGTGTTCATAACAAGCACGTTTTATGTTTGACAACTTCTTTATTTGCATTGTTCATAACAAGCACGTTGTATGTTTGACAAGTTCTCTCCTCACAATCTTCAGGACAAGCACTTTATGTGTTTGACAACTTCTATATTTACAGTGTTCATGACAAGCACGTTGTATGTTCAGATCATACAACGTGCTTGTTATGAACACTGTGAATAAAGAAGTTGTCAAACATACGAAGTGCTTGTTATGAACACTGCAAATAAAGAAGTTGTCAACAATACGAAGAGCTTGTTATAAATAGTGTGAGGAGAGAAGTTGTCAAACACACAACGTGCTTGTTATGAACACTGCAAACATAGAAGTTGTCAATGTTTGACTACTTCTTTATTCACAGTGTTTATAACAAGCACGTTGTATGTTTGACAACTTCTCTCTTCACACTCTTCAGAACTCGCACTTTATGTGTTTGACAACTTCTTTATTCACCATAACAAGCACGTTGTATGTTTGACTACTTCATTATTTACAGTGTTCATAGTGTTCATAACAAGCACGTTGTATGTTTGACAACTTCTCTGTTTACACTATGGTTCGCTACCATACCTTCCCGGGATCTTGTCTGCGAAGCAGGTGATGAAAATATGGAACTTTACAGGCACTTTTGACAATAAAATAAAAAAAACTGTTTCAATATTATGAGTTATTCCCATGTCCTTGTTAAGTTCCAATCAGAGATTTGAACAAAAAGGTACTTAGGTAGTGTCGTCACCCGATTAACCACATATTTCCAGGTGTTCTTGGACCAGAAAGCACATCAGAAACTCAACCAGTGTCACGTCTGCTTAGCTCACTTCCGGTAGATGATCGTCTGCTACAGATCAGCTACTCCGCCACAGCCACCAGTCTCACAGATAAAACTGTCTACAAAAATCTGTACCGTGTCATAGCGGCAGACAATGTCCAAGTCGAGGTAGGGAAAGGCTTTCAGAGTATTAATATGCTAATGAAAAACTCCATCCACGTCTCTTCTTTGTTTTAGCCCTCTGTATCCTCTGAATATTGATCATATATCTGTTGGCCCTATTATTACTGCCCCAATTTATATAAATAAATATAAATATAAAACGTCAGCAGAGACGAGAATCGCTATTATTCGACATAACAGATTCCATTGGGCCCAAAAGTCAAAATAGAGGTGAAAAGTATACCAAAGGATCTCTGATAATCAGTTATAACACAAGGTGTTCTCAGTAAGGGTAATCAAACCCTGATCTATTGATAGCTCCTGCCAATCAGACAGTTTGCACAACAAAGTATTTGAAGTATTGCTATGCTAAAAGGTGCATCTGTTGTCACAGGTCATGCTGCAACTGATGAAACAGTTGAAATGGAATTACGTTGCCATTGGCTACGAGAATAATTCCTATAGCATTGAAGGTGCAACAGCTTTGAAAGAAGAATCTGAAAGTCGGGAAATCTGCATTCCACTGTTTGAAATGATCACCACTACAAACAGTATTGCTTCACTGCGAGAAAAGCTAGACATTAAGTCAAGCCCAGTTTCAGGAATGGTGTTCATCGGGCAAAGGCACACACTCACTCGAGTCTTGGAATACCTTGATGAACATCTACGCATTGGTCAGTTCCAGTTGATTGTTTCTGAGGCGTTAGGGCTGGAACCATCCTATCTACGGAATGGTCAGAACAACGTGTTTGATAGAGCAAAGGGACTTCTAGTACCGACACCTATGTACAGACCAATTCCGGAGTTCACTTCCCACTGGAACTCTCTGTTTGAAAATGCAACAATATTTCTCGAAGAAGCACAGACAAATCGTTGGTTAGCCCTTTACTTCCAGTCTTTGACTGGTTGTGATCTACTTCCAGGAACAGACATTGCCAAGTGCTGGAGAGACTCGTCCAAGAGCTATAAAATCACACAACAACCTCTCTTCATTTCCTATGCAGTTCTTCTGGCCACTGGTGTGGTGGCACAGTCCTTAAAGAACGTCATCAGTCGGACATGTGGTGCAGGGATTGCAATATGCAATGCCATGAGAGACGTATCACAGGAAACATTAATTGCAGAAATCGAAAAGCTCAGATTAGAACCCTCAGATCTGATGGCTAGTTTATTCCCGGGGACAGGAAATATTTCCTTCATCAAAGGCGAGATACACCTACAGGCTGAGAAGAGCTTGTACGAAATTTATAACTACAAGAGGAATGATACAGAATTTAACTTTCATAAGGTAGGTCATTATTGATGAACAGAATCATATTTCTTCAATCTCTGATTATTATATTCGTCATTATTGATATCATAGCCGATGTCTAAGAGATGAACAAACTTTCAATGTAAAGCTATTGAACGTACATTGGAAAGAAATATGATGTTTCGAATTTTACAAACCAGTATTGAATCTTCCTCTAAATTTAAAACATATTTGGTTACTTTCCACTGTACACTATGACATAATCTACGTGAACTCAATGATGATAGGGGCGACGGGGTAGCTATATGGTTCATGCCTCCGCTCGTCACGCTGAAGACCCGAGTTCGATTCCCCAAATTGGAACCATGTGTGAAGCCCGTTTCTGGTGTCCCCCGCAGTTGTATTGCTGGGCCCCGTTCCTCAAAGCGATCGCAGAGCTACGACTGTCGTAAGTCTATGTTAAAGTATGGGAGTTACGATCACGTCAGGGTTACGATCGCTTTGAGGAACGGGACCCTGGAATATTGCTAAAATCAGCATAAAACCATATTCACTCACCTACTCACTCACTTAATGATGATGGGGTAAGTAATACGTGTGTGTGGCATGAGATATGTTAAAAAAGTTCAGATTGTAGAATTGGTGAATTCTGGGTTTTAATCCATACGTATGTTTACTTTCATACACCCAAGTGGTACGAAAACCTGTAACAAGACATGATAAAATGAAATAGTGCAGACAACAAAAAACACCACCCGACCGTCACAGCTTATGAAGTGTAACGTACAGCGATACGATGTTTCAAAGAAATTAATTCAAAGCATTATGACAAGAAACGTCTTACTTCACATTACATGAAAGGGAACACCAAATAGTCTGAATAATAATAATACCACTCTTGATTTCAATCCCCTTAGTTGAGTGGGGCAAGTATTTGAAATTGGCTTACCTTGCGGATGTGTGAAAGGTGTGCATGTAAATAAGTATTTTCCTTGTTGAAGTATAGTAATCGTAGTAATCTGGGAAAGGAAAGATCAGTCAGAATACAGGATTCGGAAAGGTCCTGTTCCTCTGTGATGTACATCACGTCTCAGACCGCCTCCGTGGTGTAGTGGTTAGAGCGTCTGCCCTGAGACCGGAAGGTCGCGGGTTCGATCCCCGACCGCGTCATTCCAAAAGACGTTAAAATGGGGTACTTTTTGGGCCCTGCCTGGCGCTCGGCATTAATGGGTACAACAAGGACTGGTCGGCTCGGAGTCAGTATACTGTGTCTGAGTGGGGTATTCATGCTTCACTGCGGCATGGTATCTCAGTAGGCTAGCACTATAAAACCAGCTTCAGTCTGGGCTAGTATAAGCAGCCGCACATACACATACACACGCATGCACGTCGTCATAAGAGCGAAATATTCTCAAGCACGACGTTAAATCCAATTTTACCTCACCTCACCTCACCACGTCTCAAATAAAACGTTCAGAAGTAATATTTACTTCTATTTCAGGTTGGCTCTTATAATGGATCCCTACAGTTGTCCATTGATCAAATCCAGTCCTTTGACAAATCTGGCAATAAAGTTGACCCGGTTCCTGGTAATTGTCAGAAGGGTCACATCTGTTCAGAATGTGTTAAAGAACCCTCAGAGGAGATCATACACATTAAAGGCGACCATTATGTTGTTGCTCTTGTTCCCATTCACAACAAACAAACCGGTAGTGGAGACTCCCAAAACGTCTTTAAGTGTGGTCCCCTGAGGTCAGCGATAAGCGTAGACATTGCAGAGGCATTGGTATTTGCTGTAAAAGATGTGAACAGTAAAACTGGAGAATTTGCATCTGTTACTGGGAACACATCCATAGGGTTGGTTGTGTTGGACACTTGCAATAACCCTTTGATAATTCGTGATAAAATTGTCAAGTTGCATACAGGGAAAGTTCATCTTGGAGGAGGGGTCTTTAGTTCAGCGATTACTGACAAAGTAATTGGCTATATAGGGCCATTAGCAAGTTCCATCAGCATTCCACTGGCATCTACAATGAAACAGCTGGACCAATTATTTATAGCCTATGGATCCACTAGCTCCAAGTTAAAAGACAGGAAAACATACCCAACTTTCATGAGAACAGCATCCTTACTTGATGACCAAGTGCAACCAATGATGAAGGTAGCCAAGAAGGTCGGAGCCAGCTACATCCAAGTGTTGTACACTGATGAGGCATATGGCCAGTCTGGTCGGGATTCTGTCCTCGAAGGGGCCAAGAAGGCAGGGGTTTGTGTTGCCCAAAGCGTACCAGTAAAAGAAGACATTGATCCAAAAGAATATGTGGGCATCGTGTATAAACTGAGACAGTTTAGGGCAGCCAAAATGGTGATTGTATTCTCTCGATCACACACTACACCAGCTCTGATGAAAGCTCTCAGTGAAGAGATTGAACTGGGAGAATTTATTTTCTTTGGATCTGGAGAGGGCTGGGCAAGACGGACTAGCGTCATAAAAGGCAACTACAACCTCAAAGGAAGCTTCACCATGGCTCAGGATCTTCCAGTTGACCCAAACTTTGAGCAGTATTTTCGCAACATCAGCAGTTCTTCTGATGAAAACCCATGGCTCAGACCGTTTTTGGAGAAAAGTGCCAACTGTTTCTTCCCAGACAGTTTTCTGAAAAAGGACAAACAGGAATGTACTGCCTCACTACTCTCAAGTCACCATCAGATTGACACGTGGGTCCCATTCGCTACCACTGCCCTGTATGCCTTGGTTCGAGGTTTCAGAAGCACCCTACAACATGTCTGTCGGGGGGCTGCCACAAAGTGTCGAGGATACTCAACCACTGAGCTGATCCGCTACACCAAAGATGTTGAGCTGGACGTCTTCAGGGACGGCAAACAACGTCGGGTATTCAATGAGGGCGGCAATGGAGCAAGTGGATTTAGGATCTCTCAGATAGTTCCAAAAAGTGGATCTGATGATCTAGAATACAAAGACGTAGGTATTCTACGAGTGTTTGTCATTTATGTCCATCTGTGCACAAGGATGTCAAATATCCCCATCTAAGAACACCGTTTAATTCATTATGTAATGAATACACTGTCACATGGTCTTGTCAACGCAATGTTAATAACACAGTTCAATTCCCAAATCTTCACTGCCAACAAGAACAGAGAATTTAGTAAATGAAGGCTGAATAAGACATGTCCATTGCAAAAATATGTTACCTAATATCAAATTAGGGCATCAAAGAATCTCAAAGTTTAAATGTATCTTCTGGTGTCAATACAGGTAAACATAACTCTATCTTTATCTATGGATGTAGCAGTGATATACAGTACACCCTGGTTATAATGCCACCGTTTGTCCAGGAGAAAATATGACATTATATCCAGGGTGGCATTATAACCAGGTAGGGCAGTTAGAGGGCCTGTGTAATCAACAAGGTGATTGAGCTGATGTCTCCTGTAATGAGCCTTGAATGACTGGATAATCCCAGCGTCTAGGGGCTGCAGGTGACTTGTTGTTGTAGGTGGCAGGAAGTGTATTGTCACATATGTTATCCTATCTGGGATTACATGACTACTTAAAGCATTAATGAGTTTGGTCAATTAATTTAAATCATGTCAATTAACCAATTAAGGTATGTATACTACATGTAGCCAGCGTTATTGGAATTATAACTAGGGGAAAATGACTTTTTGTTCCAAAAACCATTGGCAAATGACATTATATCCAGTTTGGCATTATAACCAGGGTGCACTGTATAAGACTTCACTGAACAAAAACGAACCTTTGTACAGAATGTACTTTTGTACAGAATTGTTTCAAGCACACTGCAATACATCACCTTGTTATTGCATAGATTGATGTTCATGTTGTTGATCACTAGATTGGCTGGTTCAGATTCGATTATTTACATACCACCGCCATATAGCATCAACTTGTTCCTTTCCATATTCATGCATGAATCTATTCCCATTCCATTGGTGCTGATGTGATGTTCTTGTCCAGGCTGGTCTGGCTGCTGGGGACATCTTCAGTTTCAGCATGGATGAAGAGGACATGAAACTTACTTACACTTCGGAATGCCCAAGTCAATATGAGTGTGACAGGTGTCGTTTTGAAACCGAGGATGTGTCTAGGTACTTTTGACTCTCCTATTTGGTCGTAAAATGGCCATGAAATGATTTCATGTAGCTATTTTATGTAGCTAGGTGTATGCTTAGCGCTGCAATATTCTTCATATTTTATTCCGTGAGTAATGATTCTATCCATGAAAGAATTTTGATTCAGGACAATATACAAATATTTAAGCTGTGATGAAATTAAAAACTGGTCTTTAGGGGTGGAACAATATTGGTATTCTTGACCAACACTGATACACTTCGGGTTACTTCTGTATGATATCATTTTGACCCCGCACTGTTTGTTTCGTTCAATTCATGATATCCGTAGAGATCTCAAAATCTCTAACGTTCTAGTTTTACCCTGTGGATCAAGGGTTTGATCAACTGATAACAGTGGTGGTGGTGGTGGTGGTGGTGGGGTGTGGGGTGTGTGTGGTGGGTGGGGGTGGTCGGTCAAGTCGTTTAAGGCGCTACAATTCGCATTGCAGAGTTGCTTCCCCTCGGCGAGTCAGTAACTGGTAAATGGAATATTGTGTAAAACTGCGTAAACTTATCTCACTGATAAAAACAGTAAATAAGCTCAAATTGTCCACACTGCCATTAAACAGTCACCCAGCTTGTGATTCATTCAACATTTTTCGTCATTATAGCATTTGCGAATCATTGGCAGAATTACTGATGTGGGGTTAACCAATACTCACTCACTCACACACACACACTCGTGCACCGAAGGCGTGGATCTGATCTCATGGTTTCATACACTGGTCTAGTCTTTAGTTTAGTTACATGCTGACTTTATAAAAAAATAATGCTGACTGTGATCTTAACCGACTGCCACTCACACGATCGTAATCTTCTTTGACAGCAAATTCACTGTTGAAGTCATAGCGGCGTTAGCAGGAGAAGGAGTGGTCACCCTTGGTCTATTTGTGGCGGTCATTATCATGTGTAGGAAGCACAACCGCCAGAAAGGTAAGATTTTATTTCTGTTAAAACTGTGGGACTGTCGGGAAATATTTGAACTGTTTGGGGCGAGACGTACACAACCTATATCTATATAAATGATTTGGACTGCGTGTGTATTTTCTATATTTTAACTACCTTGACGATCCGGGTTAGAATTGATCTTCAGTAACCCATGTTTGTCGTAAGTGGCGACTAACGGGATCGCGTGGTCAGGCTCGTTGACTTGGTTGACACATGCCACTCGTATCCCAATTGCGTAGATCGATGCTCATGCTGTTGATCACTGGATTGTCTGGTCCAGACTCGATTATTTTCAGACCGCCGCCATATAGCTGGAATATCACTCACTCACTATATTTAACGCATTCAGTTTTACCTGAGATTGTAGTGAGTGAGTGAGTTTAGTTTTATGCTGCTTTTAGCAATATTCCAGCAATATCATGTCGATAGAGACTGTAGATATTATATATGGTATACATTTGTCGATCGCAACAACTGATCTTTCTCATATGTACCCATCTGAATTATTTTACGTGACTTGGTTTGGTGACATGCAAGGTCAAGGTCACTCCGTGAGAATTTATAAAATGATGTGATCATGTTTTGGTGACGGCAAGTAAAGGTTGCTCGAGGTTAGATATTCTCTCCTGGGAACTAATCAACATACATTGTCACTGCAGCACATCAAAAGTGGATTACAATTTGACTGACAAACAGCCAAGGTTATTGTCAACAGAGACCGCATTATTAATCAAGGCAGACAACTGTCAAATGCCAATATGATGAAAGATTTGTCACTTACATATTCATGGCTTTTGTCTTCATGACCCTTCAACACATCTCCAACACAAGCCAGAAAAGTTAGTACATCAATAATGAGATTAAAAGGACAGGCACTGTGATGTTGTTGCCACATTTACCAAATATTGTTTTAAAAGAAAATCCTGAATTTTAGTTTCCTGGCTGTCATTCAGTCCATAAATTGAGTCATCGGTCACTTTACAAACTCACTACTTCAAACATTGACATAGAGGATGCGATTAAAACTATACATTTATAATCATTACCTTTCCTCACGGCAGGGACTGAAAGGGGAGGTCATTAGACCGGAAGTGCATGTTAGTATCCAGGAGTTACGGGCCTTTATTGTATTGGAAATGTTTACTAGAAAGCTGAAAGTGATGTCATCTAGCCGGTTAGTGTATGTCACTGAATTATTCAGGTAGCTGGAGTCATTTAAATTTTCTCTAAAGACCGGTGGATGTTTTTTAAAGAGGCATCATCAATGCATAGGCTCTGTCGCATGAGACATGTATACCCGTAGACTGGAAGTTCGTATTACCTTCTAATTAATGCTGTTAAAGTTAAGAGGTGTATGAAACTGTGTATTCTTCGTTAAACATATACGCTATTTGAACTGCTTCCGGGTGTTTATCTGTTTTGTATTCTATCTCATCATTGCTAGGACCGACGTTTTGTCAACCCCCGTAAGTCGCCAAACTGAAAGGAGGGCGCCGAAAGGAGAAATACGTCAATTTGGGGGGTTGTTGTTCCATGTTTACTAATTATATATGTTTGTTTGTAGGGTCAGCCAAAATTGAGGATACCCGAAGACCAGAATCAGGTATTTCATTTAAAATAACAGAGAAATTGCCGTTGAGAGTGTTTTGCCAATCTTTGAAGCATTAACAGTTTTCTAACTTCATATGCAGTGACCTCTGAGTAATGAAAGTGGAAATTTATGACATAAAGTGAAACTGTAATAGGAATGTGTGCGTATGCCTGTGTGAGCATCCGTGCGTGTGTGTATATTTGTCCCTTTTTGAGCCAACCCACTGAGGTACCACGGCGCAGTTTCACATTGTCGCTGTTTAACATTGACATTTGACATTTGACATGTCCCCGTCTGTCCCCTTAATGCTAAGCGTCAGGCAGGGTAACAATAGTTACGATTATATAGTATATCCTCTATTGGTATGGATCTCACAAGAAATTGGCTGCATTAAAACATTTATATCTATCTTCAAGCACCGATTTTATGACTGCTTCCTTCATAATTGGCGCTCCTCACTTGACTCTTCATCTAAATGTAAATATTATTCACAAATTAAATCTTTACTTAATGTTGAACACTACTTGTCCTGTGACCTCCTTCCATATCAACAGAAAGTTAAGCTATGTCCCGCTGTAACAACTTTAGTTTAGCAGTGGACACCGGCCGCCACACAAATACACCCTATGATCAACGCCTCTGCCTCTACTGCCACTCTGTGGGTTTAAACTATGTTGAAGACAAGCTCCATGTCCTACGTTTTATCTGTGGTGAATATTCTGAAATAAGAAATAAGTGTTTCACAACCCACCAGACCCACCCTTCAACAACTGAAACTTCTGTGCGTTTAATTACTTGCAACAACATAAATTATCTAAAACCATTAACTACATTCCTCTCCACTGTATTAAAACTAAGAAGTAAACCCACTACTACAACTAATTGACCCTGTATTCCAATCGTTATCCTATATCCATGTATGTATTCTTTATATTTGCTCCATGTTGTACTATGGGCCAATGGCCTACATTACTGAAATAAAATGTCTGTCTGTCTGTATACTAAGTACGTGTGTACAAAAATTATACTTTTTTCTGATCTCTTTTTCTCTATTTTAGCATATGATTCCATTGATGTCCTCTCCGCCTCAGAGGAAAGAGGTCAGTTGAGTCAGTGATTATTGTTTTACGCGGCTTTAAGCAAAATTCCAGCAATATCAGTGCGGGTGACACCAGAAATGGGTTTCACACATTGTTAGGGTAATGGAACCTGTGTCTTCATGACGAGAGAACCACCATGCTACCCACCACTCCAGATGTAAGGCGAACCCGGATGTGGACAACGCAGGGCATACTTTACTATTATCATAATTATTATCAATAGGATATTTATATAGCGCACATATCCACGCAGCTAGTGCATGCTCAAGGCGCTGGTATTTTTTCCCTCGATCATTGTATGTCAATCTCAACGGCACATCGTATTATCAATCTCAACTCCCTGGAGAGTATACAACTCTCTGCGTAACTATCTGCGTAAATTACGCAAATATTTATGTGAGAACTCAATTCCTATTCAGTCTATTGCGTACAAGTACGCTTGAATTTTTGTAAATACTCAATAATTTGAACTTACAAGCCCACACACAAAAATGTCAAATCTTAGCTTGCGTACCGGTGGATAGATGAAATAACTGAGGTGAGGTGAAATTGGGTTTAACGTCGTGCTTGAGAATATTTCGCTCATATGACGACGTGCAAGCGTGTGTATGTGTATGTGCGGCTGCTTGTACTAGCCCAGACTGAAGCTGGTTTTATAGTGCTAGCCCGCTGAGATACCATACCGCAGTGTAGCATGAATACCCCACTCAGACACATCATACTGACTCCGAGCCGACCAGTCCTTGTTGTACCCATTAAAGCCGAGCGCCAGGCAGGGACCAACAAGTACCATATTTTAACGTGTTTTGGTATGACGCGACCTTCCGCTCTTCGGGCGGGCGCTCTACCACTACACCACGGAGGCGGTCAGTAACTAAGGTATATTGAGAGGTTCTATTTCAGCATATGAACTTAGCAATTTACAGTCTTTCTTGTCGTTTCTCACATTACAGATCAATATAAATAACTAATACCTAAACCAGCATTTAAACTTTATTATATTTTTACAATAAATGGAAAATGGCAAAATACGCTATTGAGTTCGAGTGACATGGGTACAATATATTTGGCTACTCAAAGGAAAGTTAGGATACCCAACTGAAATGAACACAAGCGAGTACATAACTCAATGACTCAAAAAGCTATCTGTAGTTCTGACTTAGCATGTTCTCCTCTACAGAAACCTACCTGACGGCAGTGCATCAACCAAGATGAGAATGTCTCCCGGAGCGGTAGCGTTGTCCAGGTGATTATCCATGGACTCGCCCAGACAACTGTTAGAGTTAATTGTTAGCCAGTAAACTGGCAACACAAAAACACATGTATTTGTGAGTGAGTATGGTTTTACGCCGCCTGTAGCAATGTTCCAGCAATATCACGGCGGGGGACAGCAAAATTGGGCTTCGCACATTGTACGTCTTATAGCCATTCTCTTCACGAAAGCCCGGTATCATTATTGTATGATTGTATGTTTGTATTTTTCTAATCACATGCTCATCATATAGTAAGGAGCAAAGGTGATTTCCTATGATTATGTTTTTATTTTTAAGTTTGTTTTATGAGATTATGATTTTAAACGTAAAGGTTTTTTTTTTTGTTTTTTTTGGTTTTTTGTGTGTGTTTTTTTGTTGTTTTTTTGGTATTTGTATTTGTTTGTTTGTTTGTTGTTGTTTGTTTGTTTTGGGGTTGTTGTTTTTTTTGGGGGGGTATTGTTGCCGTTGTTGCTTCTTTTGTTAGTTTTTAATAATCTAAATTTGGGGGGTTTCCGGCTGTGGCGAGTTTTTTTATGTTCTGTTTGATTTAGTTGTTGGGGGGGTGGGGTTTGTCATGTTGGGTTTTTTTCTACTGTTCCATTTGTTACATAATTTCGACTATTTGATTTCCTATTCAAGTCACAAATGATTCGCATGTTTATGTAAAAGCAAAATTTACTCAAACAGTAAAAGAAACACTCACAGTAGTCATTCGTTCATTTGTTAACTGTGGTTAATATTGAAAGTATGAAATATGTATTTTATTATACATACATTACCTGTTGTTGAAGAAAGATTTCCACATATTTCTAAACTCCAAACAATATGATATTTCATGGTCATCATACCTATGTTAGGCCACATTGAACAAGCAACACTTTTACAGTTTGTCCTCGTACGTAGTCTTTTATATTGTCCAACAACTGGAAAGAACTTGCGTTCATAGTTTGTTCTTGCACTTTTATAACAGTAGCCTGTTACAAACGAACCCAGAATTATTCGTGTATAATTTATACTGATCACAACAACGTAAATCGCTAAAACAACTTTACAACATGAAAATCCATTCTTTTATTCAAGTTGTTCAAACATAAATGTTTTGGGCCATCTTCATGATTTGATTGGAGTGTACTTCAAAATTAATTGTAAACACAAACAGCTCATTGATTTTATAGTATGATTGTACATTTTCCATTGAATAAACACTTTTAACTAACCATTATTGTTTTCTCCTTAATTAACACGGGTGTAATAACTGAATTGTGAATTAGTTTCTATCCAAGAAAGAACGTTGTTGGTGAAGCATTATCAATCATAGCTTTGTGTATGGAAAAGTGATGCATCGTTATCGTTATGGTTAAATCCATGAGCATGGGTGTTGTGTTGGCCAGCCAAGAACGTGACCAGGAGAATTCTATTTCACATATGACGTATCCTGTGACAAATCCTCGCTTGTTGGGGAAGCGGGTTGTAAAATCAGCGTCATGCTACACTCAGAGACATAGAGGATTCATCACGAGTGTTTGTTAAAATGGCAAATACATTGTGCGTAGTGATACACGTGTTCCATTGTCGAGTGACATATTCTTTTGCTGAAACAAAAAAGATTCTTCTGATTATTTACGAAAATAACTGAACGGAGTTTTGCAGAATCATTGAAACTTCTAATAACGGTAATAACAACGATTTTGAAATTTAAATATAAAGTTTTGTTAATATAACATAATATGTCAGTATATTTTCAGTGATATTTAGCTTTCGAAAAAGAATGCGTACACCGGCGAAAAGAGTCTCATTTCCGGTTAGCTACTTTGCATATCTAATTTGCATAATTAATAGGCTATGGCATACATGTTTTTACGTCATCAACATGTGTCACGGATAATGCATTAGTTAAATACTTATACTGCAGTATAGGACCAGATAATAAAACCTGTCGCGTTAATCCAATTCTCAATAGTATTTTAAAACGGAAATACCCAATTATCCAGAACCATCCACATCAGACGGTAATAAAGTACACCTCCATAACGCAAGAAACCCGAGGATAATGTGTTCATGTTGGTGTGCGTGTGCGTATGCGTGTGCGGCTGCGGCTACCTGTACTAAAATTTAAACAGTTGCCGGTCTATAGTGCTAGCCCACTGAGATAGATCACACGCACACGCACGCACACACACACACGAATTTGCGTTCTAGTTAGTTAAAACTGATATAATTTCTCTTTAAAGTCCTTTGAAACAGGGGCGGTGGGGTAGCCTAATGGTTAAAGCGTTGGCTCGTCACGCCGAAGACCCGGGTTCGAATCCCCACATGGGTACAATGTGTGAAGCCCATTTCTGGTGTTCCCCCGCCGTGATGTTGCTGGAATATTGCTAAAAGCGGCGTCAAACCAAACTCAGTCAGTCAGCCTTTAAAACAACCTGATTTTGTGAGCTTATTTAAACATCCTCTGGTTTAACTAAAAAAAGTGTTTGATGTCCTGAAATTGCATGTTTCACTATTGTGGAGCCCCCACAGCGTTCTTCATATGAGACCTCATGCAGAGCAAGCCAATATCCTTTACAAACACCACAAAGAGGACGCACGCATGACCACCCATGCTTGAACAGATACACCGATGTTTAGAAAGAAGACAAGGGGTTACATCCACTGTACCTAAGAAATATATACAATCATCTTCCTGTTCAATCTCAGATGACTAGCGTCAGTGTTGTGAAGTGGGACAAACGAGGTCTTTCAGTAGTGGATTTTGAAGGGCAGAAATTTTTGACACCCAGGTAAGATGTTCAGGTGAGGCGATCACGCTCCATAGTTTAATGGAACGAACATACATTTGACCTGATCCTGCCACCGGGGTATACGGTGAGATGGGGCAGCTGGGTCATGGATAATGTTGCAGGTACTCGCGGAGGCATGAACAAAATGTTACCTAAGATGGGGTCGGCAAACTATGATTGTTTTAGTAATAGTTTTTACGGTAGTGAACACAGGTATTATTATAGCTTCAAGTATGTTAGTTTATTTTCATGTTACCGTATTCACAAGCACGTTAACAAGGAAATAGAATACGTATTGCGACGTACTCTGTGCGTTCTTCCACGAACTAGGTAATTACTCGAGTCTGATTGGTCCGTCTGAGGTATCCAGTGTGCGAAAGTTTTACATTTTGCCAGTCAGTCGGGCTAGCTATGCCTGAAAGTTACTAGCCCACAAAATAATTGACAAACCCGAAATTTGAATGTGGAAACTAAGCAAAGGATTTTTAAAATAGTTGAGAATAAGATATTGTCGGCATGACACGGGTTTCATCGTTAAGCTGCTGATATGATGAATATTTTTATCATGCCATAATCTTGCATGATTTAAAAGTGTGTGATAACTTAACAAGTCAGAGAGAGTGATATATTTACAAAATGACCCCATGAAAATACATTAGCCAGTCGGGTCAGTGATTGCGGAATTGTGATTTACTGGCCCGATTGGAGTTTTACTAGCCACGGGCTGGCGGGCCAGTGGCTATTTCGTATCAAATCACACTGCTCCCCATCCCACCAGGTATCAAATCACAATCATGCTCCCATCCCACCATTCCCGTTCACCACGCAGCTTTATTTTGCAGTTCCAGATCAGTGGAAAGAGATCATCTCCAAGAACAAAAGGTGTGCTTTTTATTTTGTTCCCTGTGAAATTTGGTCACATGCACTCTTGGCCCACGCTAATCGGTCACTGTGATATATTGGTTACTATGTTATTTGGTCTTG